TGACCTTCTGTTGCCACCTCCGACGGCGGAGGGGGGGGGGGGGGGGGGAAAAAAGTGTCCATCTCCCAATGGTACCCCCTTACCTCTGTAATTGGAGATTTTGGATTTACATTCCTAGCAGCTGCTATTTCTTGCAATTGATTCACCAGCTCAGTGATTGACAACCTCTCCTCTGGATTTACCTTCAAAGCTGAACCTACACAACAACAGCAACAATTTAGACATTCTAAGCACCAAAAAGGTATGTTGTATTAGCTGCCAAGACCTGTACCATAGAGGTCTTAAGTTCAGCATGATCTATTACACAGGGAACCTGTGGGGAAATCCAGTCTATGCCCAACTGTCATTCTCCCAAGAAACTAATTTCTCCATTGTACACAAGAATTTAAAAAAAGAGGAAAACAAGACAATAAGGTCCTTTGATCTAAATAAAGGATCATCAGAATTGTGACCATTACTTGCAGTGAATTAATCACATATTGAAATTTTAAACAAAAGGTTTAAAAGTCTATTTAAGAAACTTGAATGAATGAAAGCATTAAGTGTTTCTAGTCAATTCATCCACATCTTAAATCATATTCATTGATGGCACTGGAAGCTCCTCTTCTCCAAGATTCCAACAGCCAATTCCTAAAACAAAAAACCCACCACCACCAAGTTTTAGACTCAGATGAAAACAATTCAAATAGTTAAAAAATTTTCAAACACAACCATATGATGTATGAAGCCCACCTGCATTCAACAGGGAAGTCCTTACTGCTTTATTTCTAGATGCCTAACAGTTTTCTGAACAAGTGCCCACAAAACCATTCAAAATGAAGTTAAAAAAAATGTAAAGACTTACAAATGAGTTCATGGAACACAGTGTATCGAGTATCAGTCTGAGGAATGGAGTATTTCCCATTGACTATGCGAAGCTTGGCTGCATCTTCAAATGGATGTTGCCTAAAGCACAACAAGTACAGGATACAGCCCAAGGCCTACACAGCAAGAAAACAAAAAATGGTTCATTCAGGCACTGAAGACTTAGCTGAATTTTAAACATGAAGCTGATTAGATGATAGGCAGAGTTGTTACAAAGCTAAAATGACTTCGTTCAACTGTACATTGCTTTATCTTGGAACTTTACAAATAACTTCAGGGCTTTAGATATAAAAGATGCATAACTCCCTGTTTTGTAAAATATTTAAATTTTCCAGGTTCTCTATAAGATGGAAGCTTATCAGCAACCAGCCGAGCTAGCATACAAACAAAAAGTGTTTAAGAGATTTTAGCAGCATACATGTTGTGAGGTATAAAGTGGGGTTCCCTAAGAGTCTACCCTGGGTCCAGTATTGTTTAACATTGTCATTGATGATTTGGATGTGATAGAGTAGATGACACCAAGCTGGGTGGACTTGCAAACACTATGGAGGGCAAGGCTAGGATCCAGAATGACCTGGATACACTGGAGAAACTGTCTGCAATAAACTAAATGAAATTCAAGGACAAGTGCAAAGTCCTACACGTGGGACAGAATAATTATATGCACATGCACAAATACAAACAGGAAACAACTGGCTACGCTACAGTATCACAGTGAAGGACTTGTGTTACAATGGGTATGCTCTTGCAATAAAAGCTAACCGTACACTGGGCTGTACTAACAAGAATGTCATTTTCAAATTAAGGGAAGTGATTCGTCCACTTAGCCTCAGCAGTGCTGAGGCCTCACCTGACGGACTGTATCCAGTGTTAGGCCCCACACTTCAAGGAGAATGTGGACAGATTGGGACGTCCAGCACAAAAGAACAAAAAAAAAAAAGTGACTGGAAGCCTGGGAAGCATGATTTACAAGGACAGGCTGAAAGAACAAGAGTTTCTTCTTGAGCTTACTGAGGAATGGCCAGGGGGAATTTACTAAGTCTTTAAATACCTGAAGGGTGATTAGAGAGAGAGAGAGAGACACACACCTGTGTCAACAAGGGGCAGGACTAGGGAAAATGGGTTTAAGCTGCAGGAAATGAAGTTTAGATTGGAGATTAGGAGGAAATTTCTGACAAAGCATTTGGAAAAGGCTACTTAGAGAATCTCCACCCCGGATAAATTTTCAAGACCAGGTTGGATGCACACAAAATGCCCCTGCTGAAGCAGCTCCAGGAGCAGCTGACACCAGCTGCCTGCACCAGGGCATGGCGCGGCCCAGGAGCAGAGGTGAGCGAGGACAGGCAGAGCACGGTGCAGCCCAGCAGCTGCAGGCAGCCAGGGCTGGAGTGGGGCCATGGCCCTTTCCCCTCCCCCCACAGAGTGGATTTACCTCACACATAACAAATTATGGGTCTAAATATGCTCATTGCATAAGAGTGAATTCACATATAAAGAACCTACATAAAATTGAGAGAAACCTGTACCTTGTGAGGTCCCTGCCAGCCCTATTTTCTTATTGTGCTATGACTGCTTTTTCAATTTAAGGTTTGCTAGAACTTTTCCTCCCAATTAAAACCTTCAAGTTTTAAAATTTTAGAGTTTCCTAGTGGCTGAATTTCTTCACCGCAAAGCTTCAGCTATACAAGGATTTACATTATTACAATAATGGTAGATGTTATGATTAAAGACACTGTTTTGAAGACACCAAAAAGCAGTCCCAGCAAATTTTATCTAGTGTTGAATATTATCATCTATTACTTCTTGGAAAAAGTAAAGTAGTTACCCAGGTAGGGAAAATGCTCAATGTTCTCCAAAAATTGCCCTCTAACTTTAGCGTGTGGAGGAACAGCTAGTTGGTTTGGAATAGATTGGTAAAGAACCTTAGTTTTCATGAAGTTGACAGTGAGTTGAACCATTTCATACACTTCAACAAAGCAATCAAAAATGACACTGAACTCTTCAACTAAGTGGGTACATATGACAAGTGTCAGCATACTGAAGATTAGTAATGGGAGGTGTTGGTTATCTTGGTTTTGGAACATAACTAGTTGGTATTAAAGAGATTCCCATCCATGTGATACTGAATGCTGACTCCAGAAGTTTATAAGCAATGAGAGTTACAATAGCTCTGGTATAGATGGAAAACACTGTTGGTGCAATCACACATTTACTCCAGTTCTGAAAGTGAACGGGTCTATTTCCAAGGTATTGCTTAGGACTGTTGCAGTCATGTTGCTGTGAAGAAGTCTGATAATGGTAACAAATTTTGGCAGGTATCCAAGTCTCATCATATACATTAGGGAAAATTAATCTAGTGTAGCTTTTAAAGCAAATTAGTCTGCATTAAATTCTTGCGCAGAATGTTTGTTTTAGAATTACAGTGACCTGATTTTGTAAATGTATTAAGCCAAACTGAATTAAATCCTACTTGAATGCAGAGCATATGGACACAGTGACTCCTTTACATTTACTTCTTTAATTCTAATCAACTCTTGAGTGCTGCCAGGCAGGCCGGCCTCCGTTTCAATTAGGATTCAAGAGCAGTTCTGATAAAGCCCGTGTTTAAATTTCCATCCTTCATAGATCAGCTACATCATGCTGACCTACAAAGGGGAAGAAGCATCATAAAGGAGAATGTAACATGCAGAAATCTGAAATGTCATGTCACATTAGAACTGGAGTTCCACTGTGGCCATGATGTCATGCAGTGCCCATGCAAGATATTGAACCTAGGGCAGAAGAGCTTTTTCCTCTCAGAGTGCTTACAGCATCACAACTCTGACTGCATTAGCTGCAGGCAAACTTCCAGATAGACTCCTAGAAGTTGGTTTTAGATAAACTTCAATTGTTCAGCATATATTTACTTTTGAGACCACTCTTCACCCCATCCACTAAACAGCCAGTTGGACCAGAGGACAATCAAGCTAAAGAGAAGCAGGTAAGGCATTGTGGTATATTCTTAACCCTCAATTCACTTCACTCCCCCCTCACCCTCTTGCATAAGTGGAGGGAGAAAATATTACTGGGGGGTGGGGAAAGAAGAGTCAGGACTTAGCACATGTGCACAACCCCCCTCCCCCCATGCACACAACCCCCTCCTTTCCCCCCAGGCAGGTAAGTCTGTTGGGGTGGAACAGGTGAGGGGCATGGGATGCTTGGAGCCCGGGTGGCTAAAGTCCA